TCATTGAGTTCCGAAACGAAGTCCAAGTTTGTCAAAGTTATCGAAAGCTTCAAACAGTTCAGTGAAAAATGGTTTTCACACGTCTTGTTGTTAATATTTCTCATACTTTACGGCTTTCTCGGCGCCTATGTCTTTGTGACCCTCGAGGGACCCAACGAAAGCAATATTAAGGTATGCCTACAATGACAGACATGTCAGTCATGTTCACCAAATGAATACTCAAATTGTGTTTTGATTGAAAGACATCAGTGAGTAATATGAGAGAGAATATTATCCGTGAGTTGTGGTGGAGTTCCCAGAAGTTCACAAAGGGCTGGTGGGATAAGTTGGCCAAAATACGGATGAAGGAGTTTGAACGACAACTACATGAGGCCTGTATTGCCGATCAAACCACAGACTCGGAGAAAAGTAATTCATTTGTTATTTAAATTTTGAGTTTATCTATTGTTTTTTGGCACTCAATAAATGAGAGCTCATAAGTGCCTCACTTTTATGTTATATCAGAATAAGTCGTCTCAAAGAACTCATTATTATTATTATACAGTAGATGTTTGCTATGAATTCAATACTCCATCAAAATTCATTGCATTTTAGGTTATAGTTTCCGATTGGTCTCTAAATATATTCTTTGAATAATTCTGTTGTCAAATAAGTGTTGGACTATTTGTTGAGTTATGGATTGGAGTTATAATTTCCCAGAATAAATAAATAAACGACTGATTAGTTTGTAATAATTTATCTCATTTTTGACAGATATTGCATTAAAACATATAATTTTGTCAAAACTCCTTAATATAAGAAAATGTAATAAAGAGAGAGATTTGTGAAAGTGTGAAACTTAGTATAAGTTTTATATAATATTTTGTAACCTTAATTTTCTACGAAATGTAGAAATCTAAAAATAGTGCAGGCAACAAATTATCTCTTTTTGTCGCATTTCTCAATCGACAACTTTGACACCAAGACCCGGGTTAGTTCTCTCCTCACATATGCTTTAAAATACTCTATGTTTTCAGCTGTTATGCAGTATTGCGTGGAAATACAAACCCGTAAAACTTTGCAAATATTCTCATCAATAACTTTATTTATATTTTTCTTAAATTATCATAACATTGAACGATTATACAGTATATTATAATATAGTATTTATAATATATAGACAATTTTCAGCGAATTCAAGTGTGATTCACAATTTAACGTATGAAATATACTTATGTAAACCATTTTAAAATTATTTGAAAACAAAAACATTTATTTCTTCTTATTATCATTAATCAGAATTTGGAGAATATATTAGTATAAGTGTTCACTTTAATTATAAAACACTCATATGATTGCACATAAGACTTATTGCTAGTCACTATGATTTAAATTGCATAACAGAAATGTTATAAAAATAAATTTCTTAATAAATGAAGTCGTGTTAAATGGATGTTAAGTCAGAGATTATACGATAAAGAATAACGACAATAAAGATACCTAAAAGTGATTAACCCATGTTTTAAATGAAATATTTTATATTTATTTATAGAGGTATGGACCTTTTGGCATGCACTATTTTTCAGCTCAACTATATTTACGACAATCGGTGAGTATTATCCCATTTAACTATCCATTTCAAGTACATTATGTCTTTGCTTGCTGTATAATACTTGTATGGTTTATTAAATCTTAATTATGTATAAATTTTAGACTTTAAACCTTAAAAAGCAGTAAACAATATTATTTAAATATTATATTTTTATTTAAAAGGCAAGATTTTGTAATTAATTTATTCACGAATTCTTGAAAATTTTTTAAAACGTGAAAACTAGTGTCCGATTGTGTGTTAATTTTGATAATGAGCCAAAAATGAATTTATGCTTACATTTTATTTTTACTTTCATATAAAAATAAGTTTAGATTATATTATTCACGGTTACTGGTAAATCGGATATAATCCAAAACTTGCAAATTATTCTATAATAATAAATACTAGTATTCTTATAAGACATTGAAATAGTTTGTAGACTATTTGTATTGTATTTTTTTAAAATGTCGTTATTCTACACTGTATTCTACAACTCATTTATATACACTTATAATACACTTATACAGAAGTTTAAACACTTTATTTTTATGAAATTAATTCTTTAGTTATTTAAAATTAAACAATTGTTATAGTTTAAAATAATCATGATTAAATTATAATAAAGACATATTGTAAAGAAATTGTTTTGAAATTATATTACAAATTTTGGACTCATTAAAATTATTTTATATTCAAGTGAGATAGGAAAATGAATTTGAAAATTTGATAATAAAAACTTAAACCTTAAAACTGAATTACTAGCAACGAAAATTTGAAAATAAATAAGCATTTTGAATATAATACAATTAAATGGTGTATAAATGATAACACATGATAGGGTGGCCAATATTTTAAAATTTATATTTGTTATAATAATTCTATGAATGGAATTCAAACAGAAAATGAGATCCGATTGTAAAAATGCAAAAAAGGTAGTATGTTTAGTGTCTACTGTATAACAGTGTCGGTTATTTATAAAGTATGCAAATTCTTATTCGTTATATCTGTGAAGAGTTGAATGTTTTGCATAACTTAAAATACTGTCAGTCTTTACGCCAAACAAGTGATATATTACAAGAAAGTCATTAAATTCGTGTATATTTTCCTTCATTCTACTCATTAAATGACTATTTGTATTATTGTATCCACATTGACACATGAAAACTGATATTTTTAATTGTAATTTATAATAAAAAATAATTTTTTAAAGAAAATTCAATATCTATTAAAGATTAAATTAATAAAATTATTTGTTTTAATATTAATTAATGTTATTAAGCACCATTGGTAGAGTTTTATAACAATATAAATATTTTATATCTATTGATAAAAACAATAGACATAAAAAGATAATCCAATTGGGTATATAAATAATTCATCACTTTATTTACATACATGTATATAGATATTAGTTAAATTCCCAAAATAATTCTGAATATTTATATCAAAAAAGATTATAATGAAAATAATTTGTTTATATTTTTGTAATATGGCTGTTAAGTCATTTATTAAATTATGTTATTTTCATATATTTATAAAAATTATTCTATTAAAAACTGACACAGTTATAAGATATTTTTATTACTGTATATCGAAATTTTTTAATTTTTAAGAATTATTCTTTTAAAATTGCCTAATTTTATATAATTATGATCCAACATATTAGTAACATTATATTTAATAGTAACAGCTTAAAATTTTTAATAATTGTTATAATGGAATATATTTTATATACTATTTAATTTATTAAGGAATAGGATTAGAATTATTGAACAATAAATACTTTCTTATAAGAAATGAATATCTAATGTTGAATGTAATGGTAGGTTACGGACATGTGGTGCCCAAAACAGATGCGGGAAGAGTGGCCACAATTATCTATGCATTCATTGGTATTCCTCTACTTCTAATGGTTTTGACGGATTTGGGAAAACTCTTCACACGAGGAATCAAATTTGTATTTAAATACTGCCGAAAGATATNTGCCCAAAACAGATGCGGGAAGAGTGGCCACAATTATCTATGCATTCATTGGTATTCCTCTACTTCTAATGGTTTTGACGGATTTGGGAAAACTCTTCACACGAGGAATCAAATTTGTATTTAAATACTGCCGAAAGATATACTACATGAAACACATTAGAAAAGTGAGATCTGTTGGCAGGAAAGCCACTCAGAAACTGCCGACTCAGGTATTCAGTCATCTCTTTGTGGTTCAGCTTAGAGCTTAAATTTCTTTGCATTTCTAATATTAGCTTCAAATCAAAAACAATATTTATTTAGTCTGTTTGCAAAATAATTCAAAAGTAATGAAATATATTTGTATTTAGTATATGAGCCAGGCATTGGAAAGGGTGTCACAACTGCCCCACACTTTGACGGATAAGGTTGACAAGAATAGTGACAATAATTCAAACACACATTTAAAGCCAGAAAACAATGCAAAGGGTAAAAGTCGGTCGAGAAGCGTATCGCCGGCTAAAGAGTCGACATCCCGATCCACATCTGTGGTTATGTCAAACCCGGGGTCGTCTACCGGAGTGGGCGATGAGACCCCTATGCAAGAAGAGCCCAAAGACTTCGAAGTGGACGACGAGTTCAATCTCCCCATAAGTGTTGCCGTTATTCTGTTGCTCTCTTATATGATGATCGGCGCCGCGGCCTTCACTGTAATCATAACTTTCCTCTTTTATATCAATTGTTTTGTCAAACTTTTGAAACTTTAAAAAATTGTATTTATAATATATTAAGAAAATATTTTTCTGCTATTATATGGCAAACAGCTTTGGGAGGACTGGTCTTTCTTCGAGTCCTTTTACTTCGTGTATATCTCTCTGTCAACCATTGGTTTCGGTGATTACGTGCCGAAACACCCCATCTTCATGATGTGTACGTTTATATACCTATTGTTTGGATTGGCGTTGACTTCGATGTGCATTAATGTGGTTCAGGAGAAACTGAGCGCAACCTTTCAAAAGGCAAAGTTAAGAATCGGCGCCACAATGGGTCTCGACGTACAACAGCTCATGGAAGAGGACTTCCAGATGGAGTCCAAAGAGAGTAGTATTGAAAAGGACACCAAACCCGTGGACACCAGGAGTGCAAAGTAAAGTTAAGAATCGGCGCCACAATGGGTCTCGACGTACAACAGCTCATGGAAGAGGACTTCCAGATGGAGTCCAAAGAGAGTAGTATTGAAAAGGACACCAAACCCGTGGACACCAGGAGTGCTTTCCTGTGGTTTGGGCACCTGTGGTCCTCACGTTTCAGGCTGTTTTTCTTAAAGCTCAATTTTCTCTGTCCTTAACCTTTAAGTGACTTTCTCTCTTCTCTCTCTGCTGCGAGAGCAAGCGGCTTTCCAGAGGGCAAGAGTGCCTCCGATTCTGACAAACAGTCCGTGCGATCCAGTAGTAAGAGTGTTGGATTCATTGATGATGAGGTCTAACCAGTTGTCTAATAATTAGTAACTTATTATTAATTTAGTTTAGGATTTGTTTAATACAAACGAACCATAAATGCCTTAATATCACAACCAATTAATAATAAAACAAATTTATATTATATTATAAATTGTAATTATTTATATAAACATAAAGATAATATTGCTAAAAGTTTAAATAAATTAAAATATAAATGCCCATTAAATTTATAATATACTTAACGTTTATTTATCTTAACCAAATCTTCATTTCTTATTATATTATTAATAAAACTTAAAATATAATTCAAGTGTAAAATTTGTGAAAAATAGTTTTATTATTACACAGTTTTAGCATTTCCATTACTGTAAATGTCAAGTACTGTATAAGACTTATACTATAAGTTCATATCATATTTGTTAGAATTTCAATTTTTCTTAGATTTGCATATTTTTAATACTGTATATGATTACAATTCCTTTCATACATTATTTCAATAGTCAGTGAGTTTATATGGCTTTACAAATAACTTATTGTTTTCTACAAAAATATAGTTTTTATTAAAATATACTGTATATTAAAATTATAAAGAATATCTGTGTATATTATATTTTAAATTTCAGATTGTGTATTACAGGTATATAATGAGATAGAATCTGTAATATTGTGCATATTTGTGTACTTATATAACCCAGTTTTATTACTTTTATTCTCAACGTTTTTCCAGTTATTGTCAACATTATAATATACCAGTATACTATAAACCAGCATAAAATCTTATAGAGTACGGTATTATAAAACTAACCGACAGCACAAGAATTTTATCATTTTGCCCAACGATATCATCTTTGCAATTCTAGCAATAATAAAGTATTAATTAAAAGTGTATAGATTATAGTTATAAAAGAAGTATTTAATAAATCAAAATAACATCAAAAAAAATCAGCTTTTACAATATTTGATTATCATATAATCAGTTTGATAATACTTCTTTTACTGTATCCTAAAATCAATTTAAAATGTCTTATTATAACTCATAATTTTTCATTTTTAAGCTTACATATTTTAATCATTGCAGTGTAGGGAGATTAAACAAGAACATTAATTTATAAGTTACTAAAAATTGACTAATAAATTCAAAGTTTGATAATGAAATTATAAAATTTTTAATAGTTTTTATTTTTAATCAATTTAAAAGCTTTTAATTATTTAACAAAATAGTATTATAATTATAAATATAAGTTAATTGAATTAAAATGAGTCATTTAGATGTTATTTAAATTAATTATTTTTATTATAACAGAAAAAGGTCAAAAATATTGATAGTTAATTGAAAAGACAAATTGGGTTTCAAACCCGGGTTTCATTGTATTAAAATGAGATATTGTTGTTTAGACACACTGTCTTTATATTATATTTTTATAGTTAAATTTATATTTTTATTATATTAATAAATATATAATTATAATATACAAAATGTAGATAATAATTATTAAATATTAATAGTAAATAAAAGGCAAATCACATGACATAAATTGAAATTTAGTGGCCAATATATGATGTTTTTGATG